ACTTATTCTCCTTAAATACAGAGCTATTATTCTATATTTAAAATCTGTGGCTCCATTTCATCCAGGTATTCGTGTAGTCTGTGAAAAATCTGCATTTTCCTCTGAGTTTCCATTTATAATTGTTACATAATTACTTTTTTCCTTCTTTGTGTAATCTCTGGATTTGTATAAATTTTAGATTATCAGTCAGTGTTTTCTTTAAGGTTCAATTCCTTAATTAGAGTTTTGTGCCAGAGTTTTCTGCCCTCTGCTATGTTCTGGCGGGGGAGGTAGCCCTGTTTGGTCCTGCTTTGGTCTTTGGTCTTTGATCAAGAAATCCACTGGGTTCTTGCTCAAACCTCTACCTCCTGGAGTTGGCTCCCCTGAATCTTTAAAGTACAGAGCACTTTTTTCAAGTCCTTCTGTGATATCTCAGAACAAAGCATTAGGGACCTCAGAGCCCTGGTCAAAGGACTACAGCATCCCACCAGCTGCCCCCTCCAGGGCTCTCGGTCATCTCCCAAGGAACCTCTGCTTTTGTTGTCTCCACACACAGAACCTTGCAGGCTACGGGGTCTCATTTCTAGTGCTGAAAGGTCACCCTGAGCTGGCAGTGGCTTTGCTGGCAGTCTCTCTCTCTTTTTTTCTTTTTGGTGAGGCAACTGGGGTTAAGTGACTTGCCCAGGGTCACACAGCTAGGAAGTGTCAAGTGTCTGAGGCCGGATTTGAACTCAGGTCCTCCTGACTGCAAGACTGGAGCTCTATCCACTGTGCCACCTAAATGCCCCGCAGTCTCTTTCCTTATTCCACAATTATTTTAACAAAGTATGTGGCAACAACTGTTATGGCAATTTCTTAGAAAAAAAATTGAGAGATATAGATGATCATAATCAAATTAAAAGCATCTGAAGATGAACAAATGGTCAGATCTTAAATTGTCTGATTGATGTTTCGATTTCAACAAAGAGGAAAGTCTCAAGTAGACCACCAAGGTATCTGGGAGGGAGGGTTTAAACTTTACTGTCTCATGGAGGCATTTATTTCTGTTTGATCTATTCTAATTTTCAGGGAGTTTGTAACTTGGGTCAGGTTTCCACCTTCTCCACTAAGCTGTTCATTCTCCTTTAAATCTCCTCCAAACCTTTTCTTTCATTTTTAATTTCTTGCTTAATTTTTTTCTAGGTATTCTTATTGTACTTGTGGAAAATCCTTTCTTTTTCTCCTTGACTTTCTGCTTGCAGTTGTTATGAATTTATTAGTTCCTTCTTTGGGTGGAAGCCACATCTATAATAATTTTGGATGGGCCTCTTTTTTTAATTTTTATAAATACTTTTAGGCTTCTAGGTGGCATAATGGACCTGGAATTAGGAAGACCTGAATTCACACCCAGGCTCACACAGTTACTAGTTGTGTGATTCTGAGTAAGTAACTTAACCTTTGCCTCAGTTTCCTCATCTATAAAATGGAAACAAACTTAATTTTTTATTTTTTGGGGGGGTGGGGGACTAGGCAATGGGGTTAAGTGACTCGCCCAGGGTCACACAGCTAGTAAGTGCTATGTGTCGGAAGTCAAATTTGAACTCAGGTCCTCCTGACTCCAGGGCCAGTGCTCTATCCACTGCACCACTTAGCTGCCCCCAAACTTTATTTTTTATAAATAAAATATTTGTTTTATTTTCATCTGTAAAATAATAATAGCACTTAAGTTCCCAAGGTTATTGTGGGGATGAAATGAGAAAATATAAATATAAAGTGCTTTGCAACCATTAAAATGCTACATAAATGCTAGCTATCATTATTATTATTATTATTATCACTATTATTATTACACAAAGGCAGTGTTTTCTTTCATTTATCCTCCTCTCTAGGTTTAGTCACTAAAAAGAGGCTTTCTGATAAGGTCAAGGTCTAACACCAGCTACACTTTGGAGTGAAGTGGGGCAAATGGCCCTGCTTAAGCTCACAATGGGACCCATTCATTCCTGTATTTTTTCGAGCACTGGACACAGAGCTTTATAAGCTACAAATATCTCTGGCCCACTGCTAGTCACTTGAGCATGGGTTCCATCCACGCTAGAAACAGCTTTGCTGGCAGCCCCTTTCCAGCCTTCCAACCTGACCTTTAGATTATGAGCTCCTTGTGAGCAGGGATTACCTTTTGCTTTTCTTGTAGTTAGTGCTTAATAAATGCTGGCTGTGTGACCTCTGATTTGGTCCTAAAGTGGAAGAAATCATTGATTACAGATTCTCATAAGATTTCTGGATCATGACCTGCTTTGTTACAAACTTGAGGGTTTGGGGGAGCAGGTATGAGGGAGCTGAGGGGGTCTGCTTCCCATTTAGGCAGTCTTTTGATGATGACTATTTGCAGAATACTCTGAGATCTGTTAAGATAGAAGCAGCTGGTGATGCAGTGTGCAGAGTGCTGGGCCTAATGTCAGGAAGACCTGAGTTAACAATAAGTCTTGTCAGATTTCAGAAAAACCTGGAAAGACTCACATGAACTGATGCTGAGTGAAGTGAGCAGAACCAGAACACTGTCCACAGCAACAGCAACACTGTGCAATGATTAACTGTGGTAGACTTAGCTCTTCTCAGCAATACAATGATCCAAGACAATTCCAAAAGACTCATAACAGAAAATGCTAACCACATCCAGGGAAAGAACTATGGATTCTAAATGCAGATTGAAACATACTGTTTCCATTTTTTTTTTCTCTGTTTTTTCTTTCTTGTGGTTTTTCTCTTTCATTCTGATTCTTCTTTCACAACATGACTAAAATGTGGAAATATGCTTAATATGATTATACATGTATAACCTATATCAGATTGCTTGCTATCTTGGGGAGGGGAAAGGGAAAGAAGGGAAAGAGAAAAATTTGAAACTCAAAATTTTACAAAAATAATGTTGAAAACTATCTTTTCATGTAATTGGTAAAAAAAAAAAAAATACTACTAGGAGGGAAAAAAATAAGCCTTGTGATTCAGGGCAAGTCACTTAATTTGTTTGCTTCAGTTTCTTCGCCTGTAAAATGGGCCTTGTAACAGTACCTACCTCCCAGAGTTGTTGTAAGGATCCAATCAGATAACTGTGCAGGATTATAAGCACAGTGCCCGACACACAGTACACACTATGTAAATGCTTATGCTGCTTCCCTTTATTGCTTACTATGTGTTCTTCCTTCCTACTGAACTTAAAATTGATCCTGTGTCATTTTCTCATTGATCCTATTTACAGGTAACTGCTTTTGTGCCGTAACTCCCTACGTCATGATTCTTTGTCTCTGCACCTAACTCAGCATTCGGCTGGCTTGTAATGGGCTACATTTGAAAATCTGGCTCTCTTGCTCAAGGAATGTTGCTAACCCTGGGTAATGTGTGAGAAAGCAAAGGAGTCTAGGCCCGATAGCTTTACCCCACCTAGCTACCATCCAAGGATGCCTGGTTTGCCATCCACAAGTCTGGGCCACTATCTCACACCTGGACTTGAACAAAGGCCACTTCTTAGTCTCCTGGGAGAAGAAAGGGGGTCTGCTAACATTGACATGAAGATTATACACTGTGACCAGGTAAGATTTATACCAAGAATGAATGATTGGTTCAAATAAAATCTAACCCCCATTACCAAACTTCCAACCAATCAGGTTGTTTCCTGCCCTTCAGCTTTGTAACCAGTCAGGTTGCCCTCAATACCATGATGTCATCTACCCTGCTCTGTTCTCTGTTCTGTACTCCTCAAGCCCTACATAAGGGGAGCTGTCCTTTTATTCAGAGTCTTTGGGGCAAGCCATGGACCCATTTATTGACAGGTAGCATGCCCCTACTAATAAATATCATCTTCCGCAGGGATCTGCCTCAGTTTACTCTTTTGTTAAAATCTCAATTGCAACACCATTTTTTTCCATAGCTGGGAATCTTGACATTTTGCTCCTCCAGATGAATTTTATTATTTTTTTCAATCAGAAAAAAATCCTTTGGCAGTGTGATTATTATGGCACTCTATATACAAATTAACTGAGGTAGTATTATCATTTTTATTATATTGGCATGGTCCAAACATGAGAAGTTACTGTCACTCCAGTTATTTAGGTCTGTCTTTATTTCCGTAAAGAATATTTCATGGTTTTATTCAAATGTTTCCTGTGCATGTCTTATTAGACAGATTCCCAAATGTTTTATACATTTTTGTAATTATTCTTAACGAAATTTTTCTTTTTATCTCTTCCTGTTTTGTTGGCAATGTATTGAGTGGCTAATGATTTGTTGCAGAATTTTATGTCCTACCACTTTGCTTAAGTTATTGTTTCTATTTTTTTAGTTGACTCTCTAAGTGGACTATCACATTATTGAAAAAAAAAACAATAATTTTGTTTCTTCTTCGTGCTTATTCCATCCATTTTTTTTCTTGTCTTAGCACTCTATCTAGCATTTCTAACACCATTATCATATAGTAGTGGTGATATCACACATCATTATTTCTTCCTTGATATTACTGGAAAGGCCTAAAAATTAATTTCATTACATATAATGTTGGCTCTCAATTTTAGACAGATACTATTTATCATATTAAGGAAAGGTCCATTTATTTCTAAACTTTGTAGCTTTTTTTAAATGAGCATTATATTTTTAAAAATTTTTTCTACATATATTGAGTGATATTATTATATAATTTTTACTATTTTGTTATTAATATACTCTTTTATGTTTGTAGATTTTATTTGAACCAATCATTCATTCTTGGTATAAATCTTACCTGGTCACAGTGTATAATCTTCATGTCAATGTTGCTGTACTTGCTATATTTTATGCTGCAGTATTTTATTTAAAATATTTGTACCCCTCTGCTGCTTTTGGGAGCCAAGACGGCAGAGTGAGAAGTAAGTTGCTCTCACCCTCCGTCATTGACCTCCCAGAAAATATCAACCCAGGAAAAACCCTGAGCCAGCAGAAAGACAGGGTGCAGCAGTCTCGTAGCCCATGAAACGTGGGAGATTAACAGGAAATGCCCCTCTCACTCCGAGGGAGGGGGAGCAGTACAAGATGGGAGGAATCCCAGCAAGGCAGCAGCAAGCCCCACCTCAGCACACCGAGGGGGGATCCTAAGACCCAAGGTGGTAGACCGAGCAAGCACCAACACCAGGACGCCCCCCTCACAAGCCTCAATATGGGCAGGGGAACCAGAAGACTCCAGCTCAGAAAACCGCCACGAGCAACAGTGTTCTCCATCAGCCCAATCACCTAGTGCCTCAGCACAACTCTGGGAAGCGCAGCACCGGGAGGCAAAGCTCCAGGCTGACAGACGTCGTCCAGCAGCAAAACATCTCTACGCAAGGCCCAGGCGAGTGGGAGCCGAGTATTCGAGCGCCAGGCCCGGGCGAGCGGGAGCCGAGTATTCGAGCGCCAGGCCTGGGTGAGCAGGAGGAGAAGCTTGGGTAAGTTCCCCCTTCGCTCCGTCAAGAGAGCTCAACTTTTTTTTTTCTTAAAGTCAGGAAATAGGCAAACACCATGAGCAAAGAGCAGAAATAGACAAAGACCAGAGATTCTTATTGTGGAGACGGGGGAGAGCAAGGCACAAATTCAGAAGAGGGCAACGTTGTCAATATACCCACATTCAAAACCTCAAGGGGGAATATGAACTGGTCTTAAGCCCAAAAAGCCTTCTTGGAAGAGCTCAAGAAGAATTTTAAAAGTCAAATAAGAGAGGTAGAAGAAAAATTGGGGGGCAGCTAGATGGTGCAGTGGATAGAGCACAGGCCCTGAAATCAGGAGGACCTGAGTTCAAATCTGGCCTCAGACCAAACACTTGCCACGTACTAGCTGTGTGACCTTGGACAAGTCACTTAAGCCCAATTGCCTCACTTAAAAAAAAAAACTGGGAAAAGAAATGAGAGGTATGCAAAAGAGAGTCAATAGCCAGGGAAAAGAAGGACAAAAATTAACTGTAGAAAACAAGTCCTTAAAAATATGATTGACCAAATGGGAAAAAAAAAGTATACTGAAGAAAACAACTCTTTAAAAAGTAGAATTGACCAAATGGAAAAAGAGGCACAAAAACTCATTGAAGAGAACTCCTTAAAAAGTAAAATGAGTCAAATGGAAAAGGAGATACAAAATCTAATAAAGAAAACAACTCATTGAAAATTAGAATAGGGCAAGTGGAAGCTATGGACTTTATAAGAAATCAAGAATCAGTCAAATAAAAACAAAAGAATGAAAAATACAAGAAAACGTAAAATACCTCATTGGTAAAACAACTGACCTGGAAAATAGATCCAGGACAATTTAGAAATTATTGGTATACCTGAAAACCATGATGAAAAAACATCCTTCAGGAAATCATCAAAGAAAACTGCCCTCAGGTCCTAGAACCAGAGGGTAAAATAGTGATTGAAAGAATACACTGATCACCTGAAAGAGATCCCAAGTTGAAAATGCCAAGGAATATCATAGCCAAATTCCAAAATTACCAGATCAAAGAGAAAATACTGCAAGCAGCCAGAAAGAAAGTATTTAAATGTCATAGAGCCACAGTCAGGATTACACAGGACCTTGTAACTTCTACACTAAAAGATCAGAGGGCATAGAATATGATATTCCGTAAGGCAAAGGAGTTTGGATTACAACCAAGGATCAACTACTCAGAGAAACTAAGCATAATCTTTCAGGGAAGGAGATGGACATTCAATGAAATAGAGGACTTCCAAACCTTCCTGATGAGAAGACCAGAGCTCAAGAGAAAATCTGACCTTCAAATACAAGACTAGAGAGAGGCATAAAAGGGTAAACAGGAAAGAAAAAAAAAAAAAACATGTTATTAATAAGAGCAAACATTCCTACAAGGGAAGATGACACTTGTAACTCTTGAGAACTTTAATGTTATTATGATATTTAAAAGGGGGTATACTTAGACAGAGGGCATGGGTATAAGCTGACTTTGATGTGATAATAAAAAATCTAATTAAGTGGTGAAAAGGGATTGTTCTGGGAGAAGAGGAAAGGAGGAGGCAGTACAAGGGTAAATTATATCACATGAAAAGGCACAAAAACCTAATACTATAGAGGCAAAGAAGGGACGGAGATGAACATTGTTTGAACCTTATTCTCAGCAGATTTGGTTCAAAGAGGGAATACCATAATCAGTTAGGTATAGAAATCTGACTTAACCTATAGGAAGTAGGAGAGGAAAGGGGAAAGAAAAGAGAGGGGATAGATTGAAGGGAGAGAAGAAGCAGTAAGGGTAAAGGGGAAGAAAAGGGAGGGAGTTAATAGAAGGAGGGCAGACTAAGGGAGGTGGTAGTCAAAAGCAAAACTCTAGTGAGGAGGGAAAGGGAGAAAGGAGAGAGAAAAACGTAAATGAGGGGGAGGGAATAGGATGGAAAGAAAGACACAGATAGTAATCATAACTATGAATGTAAATGAGATGAACTCTCCCATAAAGAAGAATCAGCAGAGTGGATTAAGAACCATAATCCTACAATATGTTGTTTACAACAAGAAACACATTTGAAGCAGAGGGATACACACACACTAAAGGTAAAAGGCTGGAGTAGAATATATTATACTTCAGCTGAAGTAAAAAAAAAAAAAAAAAAAACAGGGGTAGCAATCCTGATCTTAGACAAAGCAAAAGCAAAAATAGATCTTATTAAAAGAAATAAGGAAGGAAACTACATCCTGCTATAAGGTACCATAGACAATGAAGTGATATCATTACTAAACATATATGCACCAAGTAGTATAGCATCCAAATTCTTAGAGGAGAAGTTCAGGGAGTTACAGAAAGGAATAGACAGCAAAACTATACTGGTGAGGGACCTCAATCTCCCCCTCTCTGAACCAGATAAATCTAACCACAAAATAAACAAGAAAGAAATTAAGGAGATCGATAGAATTTTAGAAAAGTTAAATATGATTGACCTCTGGAGAAAACTGAATGGGGACAGAAAGGAATATACCTTTTTCTCCATGGCACATGGCACCTACACAAAAATCGACCACGTACTAGGGCATAAAAACCTCACAATCCAGTGCAGAAAGGCAGAAATATTAAATGCATCCTTTTCAGATCATGATGCAATAAAAATTACATGTAATAAAGGGCCATGGAAAGATAGACTGAAAAATAATTGGCAACTAAACAATCTAATCCTAAAGAATGAGTGGGTCAAACAACAAATCACAGAAACAATCAATAACTTCAACCAAGAGAATGACAATAATGAGACAACATACCAAAACTTATGGGATGCAGCTTTCTTAGGGAAGTATTGTATCTCTAAATGCATACATGAATAAAATAGAGAAAGAAGAGATCAATCAATTGGGTATACAACTAAAAAAGCTAGAAAAAGAATAAATTTTAAATCCCCAATTAAATACCAAATTAGAAATTCTGAAAATGAAAGGAGAGATTAATAAAATTGAAATTAAGAAAACTATCGAACTAATAAATAAAACTAAGAGCTGGTTTTATGAAAAAGCCAATAAAACAGATAAACCTTTGGTTAATTTGATTAAAAAATTTGTACCCATATTCATGAGAGATACTGATCTACAGTTTTCTTTCTTTGATTTGTATCTGCCTATATCAAAATGATATTTGGATCATGGAAGTAAATTAGTAGGATCCCGTCTTCTTATATTTTTGTAAAATATTTATATAATATTGAATTAACTGTTCTTTGAATGTTTGATATAATTTAATTATAAATCCATCTGGTCCTAGGATTTTTCCTCTTTCAGTACTTATTTATTGTTTATTCAACTTCTTTTTCTGAGATTAGATTATTTAAAATTTCTTTCTTGTTCTGTAAATCTCACCATTTTGAGGTCTTTAGATGTTCATCTACTTCATTTAAATTGTCTGTTTTGCTGACATACAATTAGGTAAAAATATGTTCTAATAATTTCCTTTGTTTCTCATTTATTTCTTGTGATTTCACTTTTTATATTTTCAGTACTGACAAATTTGGTTCTCTCTTTTTTTTTAATCAAAATAGCTGATAGCATACCTAATTGAGGAGGTTTTTTTTTTATAAGAGCTTTTAGTTTCATTTATCAATTGAATGTTTGCTAGTTTATTTTTATTTTAATTTAGTTAATTTCATAATTTCAATTTTGATATTTACTTACTGTATTAAAATTTGTTGGGGTTTTTTCAAGTAATATATCTAATTCACTGTTTTTTTCTTTCTCATTTTCATTGATCAAAGTATTTAAAGATACAAAATTTCCCCAAAGACTGATTTGGTTGCATCTCAAAAGTTTTAGTATGTTATCTACTTCATCAACAAAATTTTCTGTTGTTTCTACAATTTGCTCTTTGACCAATGAATTTTTTTTTAATTTCATAATACCTAAATTTTTATTAAGTGCTTTTTGTGCTCAGAACAGTGCAAGGCATTATGTATGAAGCAATTGTGATATATTCACGCCAGTCCAACACCCCTAAAATCCTGTTGTCTTGTACTCTAAGGGCTCCCTGCTTCTGAACTACAAAAGCTATTAGGATTAGCTGAACCATAGGGGTGGGGGCCTGATAGGAATGTTTATATTCACCAGCTTACCTCCTCTGTAGGGCCAAGAGAATTCCAGTGAATGCCAGGGTTTGATTTTTTTTTTAATTCATTTTATAACCAAACAATTTATGACCAATAAATTCTTTAGGATTACAGTTATTTAGTCTCGGATAAATTTACAATCACTTCTTTAAAGAGCCTTTATAATTCTTATTGTGTTGTGGTCCCTAAAAGGTATATTTAATATATATTTTTTTTATTTTCTGCATCGTTTAGAAGGTTTTATACCCTAATATATGCTCAATTTTTGTAAAACTGACACGCTTAGCTGAGAAATTCTTATAACCTTTTTCATTCCAGTTTAATAATTGCCAAAGATTTATCGTGGCTAACTTTTCTAAAATTTTATTCAGGTCCTTGACTTCTTTCTTGTTTATTCATTTGATTTGTCCAGATTGAGATCAACTATTATAGTTTTACAATCTACTTCCTGCCAAGCAATTAACTTTTCCCTTAAACATTAGAGGCTATGACATTCAGAGAGTGTGTATCTCCCTCTTGTGGATAAAAGTATATATTGCAGCCTGAGCAAGGTGTTTTTTCTTTTTGTTTTTGTTTTTTGCAGCGTTCACTTAAAATCTCTCTTCATCCTCCACCACTGCCACTACCCCACTTCAAACGAAAGAGGAGAAAGATAACTTGTGTGACTTGACTACAGCCAAACAAGTAAGTGGTTCAATCATCTTATGGCTCCCTCCCTTTTTAATTATAATTATGATGACTCTTTTCCCTAGGAAGGTGACTATGATTCTCACCATCGGCGCTGAGGCACAGAGTCTGGCAAGTGAGCCCCTTCTTGGGTTCTGAAACACCTTGCCTGATCTCTCTTTCTCTCTCTCTCTCTCACACACATACACACACAGACACATACACACACACCCCCCACACACACAGACACATACACACACACCCCACACACACACACACACACACCCCACACACACACAAACTCCAAGGGAAACAGGAGGTAGAAGATACTGGGAAGGTCCTCCATCAACTCTAACCTAGCCCCTTAGCTAGCCGCCTACTCTAGGTTTCTTGTCTAAGATGCTACAAAACCCACTGCCTCCTCCTCCCTGTCTTCCATACTCACAGCTAGATTATGATTGGAGCCTGGGAAAGGGCTAAGAGACTTCTCTCCTGCGTGATCCTCTTGCTTATGGTCTGACTAAACAAGAAGGTCTTTAGAAGGAAGCTCAGAACCTGGATCCTGGTTCCCCCTCTCCTTCCCTCTCTATCTGGCTTTTTTCCCCCAAAAAAGGCAGCAGCAGCAACAGCAATAGCTGCTTTAGGCATAACAGATTTTTCTCCAGTCTCTTATTTTTAACTACATTTCAATATCTCTGTTTCAAGTGAGTAAATCATTTAACTTCACCCAATTTCAAACTCTTCATCTGTAAAATGGTATTAATATCCGGTACTCTACAAGATTGTAAGTCCAAACTGACAACAAATGTAAATCACTTTGCAAACCTTAAAGTGCTATATTAATACTTATTATTAGTAGGAATATTTCTTGTAAATGACACACTGTTGCATTTTGCTTTTTACTACCATTATACTGCCCCTCTACATTTTACAGGTGAGTTCACCCCATTCACATCCATATTTATAACTGTTAACTGTGTGTTTTCCTCCATTCAATTCTTGTGTCCTTTTTCCTCTTTTCCTTTTGTCCTCCTCTTGACAAGTAGCATTGATGGAATAATGTGTTCTGTGCTAGCGATCTGTATCCGATGCAATCTGTTCCTACTGAATTATTCTCCTTTTCTTCACTTCTCCCAGCCCCCCATCCCAGATTCTTAACCTCTCTTTCTTTCCTTTTACTCTTCCCTTCACCCTCCACCCTCCAAAGTTGGAGTTTGTGTTTATGACTTTTTGTTGCTGCTGTGGCTGTTGCTGGGTTGTTTGGTCATGTCTGACTGTTGTGACTCCATGGCCCATAGCATTCCAGACCCTTCTGTCCTCCACTATCTCTCAAAATTTGTCCAGATTTATGACCATTGTTTTCATGACACTATCTATCTTATCCTCTGTCAGTCATGCTCTTTTCCTTTTGCCTTCAATCTTTCCCAACATCAGGATCTTTTCCAATGAGCTTCAGTATTTGACTTCTAGTGAATAGCTTGAATTAATTTAATTATTGACTGATACGACCTCCTTGCTGTCCAAGGGACTCTCAAAAATCTTATCCTCACCACAATTCAAAAGTGTCAGTTCTGTGGCATTCAGTTTTTCTTATAATCCAACTCTCACAGCCATATAGTACTACTGGAAAAACCATAGCTTTCACTATATGGACCTTTGTTGGCAAAATGATATCTCTGCTTTTTAGTATGTTGTCCAGATTAGCCATAGCTTTCTTCCAAGGAAAAGGTGTCTTTTTATTTCATGGTGGCAGTCACCATCTGCAGTGATCTTTGAACCCAAAAATATAAAATCTGACATTTTTTCCCTCTGTTTGCCAGAAAGTGATGGGACCAGTTGCCAAGACCTTAGGTTTTTTGATAATCATTTATATTTTATGACTAATTCCTTCCGTATGTACCTTCTCTTTTAATCCCCCTTTCCCTGTCCCCTACCGATTCTCTATTCACCTTAACGTATTTCTATACTAGACTGTGTGTGTGCGTGTGTGTGTTTCAAACCTCTTTTGTCTGCTTCAGATGAAAGTGGGGCCGTGTGGTAAGCTCACCTTACTGTGTGCTCCACTGTAGGGTCTTCTTTACCACAATTATTCAAGATAAGTTCCACTCCCTCTCTCTCTCCTCCCTGGTACATCTTTTTCTTTTTCCTTTTTCTTTTTTCTCTTAAGATCATCAAAAGAGAAAAAGACTTTTTCCAGGCCCTCTGACTTCCTTACCCCCTCCATGAGACTCTAGGAGCCTAACTGTGTGGTTTCTTGGTACTTAGATTCTTCCTTTATGTTTGCTTTAAGGAGTTTTATTTTTAACTGAAAACTATGGATTTGGGCTATGGTATTCCTGGGAGTTTTATTTTGGACTTTCTTCCATGAAGCTACTAGGATATTATTTCTATTTTCCCTTTGCTCTCTGGTTCTAATAGATATGGGCAATTTTTCACTCATCATTTCTTGAAATATTGTATCTAGATTTAGGGTGTTTGGTTGTTTTTTGGGTTTTTTTATGGTTAAGGTTTTTGGGTAATCTGATGATTACTCAATTATCTCACCTTGACCTATTTTTTAGGTCAGTTGTTTTGGATAGGAAATACTTTACATTTTCTGATTTTTTTCCCCAGTCTTATTATTTTGTACTAGTATTCCTTGTTATCTCATGGAGTCCTTAATCCCTGTTTTGTCCGATCTAATTTTCAAGGCATCTATTACATGAGTAAAGTTTTATACCTCCTGTACTAACTTCTGTATTCTTTTTCCAATTCCTTCTTTAAAATCTCTCACTTCTTTTCTCATTCTTTACTTTTACAACACACACACATAAACACACACACACACACACATATATCCACACATCATCAACAACAATATATTCAAGAAGTGTCATGAAGGATATCATTCAGAAGGGGCAGGGGAGGGGAAGAAGGACAGTAATCAGATAAGAAGAGATTCTTAAAAGAGGGACAGCCTTTGCTCTGACACTCACAAAATATGAAACAACCTAGAGCAGGGGTTCTTAACCCTTTTTGTGTCCTGAACTCTACTGGACATCTGGTGAAGGCTGGGGACCTCCTTCTCAGAATGCTTTTAAAATGCATAAAATAAAGTATATAGGATAAACAATGGAATCTAATTATATTGAAATAAAGATAACACTTTAAGTTCACAGACTGTAGGATAAGAACCCAGCATGAGAGCCCTGAAGAGCACCTAAGTACTTGGATTAGCTTCTCCAGGAACAAGACAGGAAAGGTCAAGAAGAAGAATTGTCAAGATGTGTGTATGCTGTGAAATGCACCACCCACGTTGCTGCAGCGATACCAGCCGTGTCCCCGTGTCTTGTGCGCTCCTTAAGATGCATCAAGACTTCTTTGGCTTTGACTCTTCCTGCAAGTAGCAGAGATTGTACAGAGCCAGCACACCAGAGTTATACTGTGGGGCTGGGGAGTATTCACTGAAATAAACAAGCTTATGAAGTGACAGAAAGGTAACCTAAAGCTAGCTCCCAACCACACAACCAGAGGGAGAAAAGATGATGAGATTTATGAGGGAAAAACAAATATAGGCACAGCAGAGAAAGAGGAACAATGCTGGGACATTTGGCCTGATTATTTCTCAGAGTGCAGGACGTAAGTTCAAAATCAGCATCAGACTTTTACTTAGTTGTGTGACTCTCAGCAAATCAGTCTCTGTCTGCTATATTTTGCTCATCTCTTAAATGCAGATAATAACAGCACCTACCTCCCAGGGATCAAATGAGATTAATATTTACAAAGTGCTCTGCACATATTAAAGTGCTATATAAATGCTATTATTATTATTATTATTATTAGTGCAGCTAGGTGGCTCAGTGGATAAAGTGCTTGACCTAAGGACAGGAAGACTTGAGTTCAAATCTGGCCTCAGACACTTACTAGCTGTGTGACCCTGAGCAAGTCACTTCACCTATTGTCCTGACACCAGGTCCAGTGCTCTATCCAACTGTACCACCTAGCTGCCCCATAAAGTGATGTGTGTATGTATGTGTGTGTGTGTGTGTGTGTGTGTCTTACACGTACATAGATATATACTATTATTATTATAATTTAGTCCAAAAATGTCATTCTACCCATAAGAAAACTGAGGCTTAGAGAGGGAAAGTGACTTGTCTAAATTCACACAACTAATAAGTATTAGATCCATAATGTAAACCCAGGTCTCCAGACCCTAAGTCCAGGCCTCTTTTCACTACACAGGCTGTTTCTGCAAAGCAAAAGAGAGAGATTGCTCAGACACGATTGGCAATATGTCTTTTGTCCCCCACGCATTTAAAAAAGACATGAAGGAACAAAAAAAAGAATACTCAAACACATGGGAAATGAATCAAGAGGTGAAAAAGGCATGCTAAGGAGAAAAAAATAAGCATCTATCTGCTCAAGCCTAGAGAAAAGAAGCTTCATTATCGTTCCAGTTAAAAAGGAATTTTATGAGAAGGATGCTGACCAAGAGTTCTCTGGGTCAACAGGAGACTATAAAAGATCATAAAAGCTTTGCAGAATCTGAGACTTGGAAGGGCCCTCAGCGGCTATCTTGTCCAGCCCACACATACCCCAAAATGACCTCAAGTGGCAGAAATATTAAACAGGAGAAACTGGGGTGGGACACCAGGAAGTTCTTCATAAGCTGCAGGAGACAGAACTTGGGGTTGGGCGATGCTGGCCTGGTTCTGCTGCTTAGCTGGCACCTCCTTAAGAGACTAGGGCCACATCACTAGGCCCATCTGGCAAAAGCAGGGCATCAGGCTAGACAGCCTCTAAGGTTCATTTCAGTCTTGACATCCTAGGACAAAGCCCTCAGCATTGGGGCTCTTTCAGAATGGAATGAGAAATTATCTGTCCTAGGAGATTCCCCTTCAAATCCCTCACCTGAAAAGAAGGGACTGAATGAGATGACATTGTTGAATTTAATGTTTAAGGGGACCTCCAGAAACAATACTCTGGGGCAACACCCTCCTCATTCTCCAGGTGAGGAAGTGGAGATCTGGCCCAAAGACCATGCCCGAGGTGAATGGCAGAGCTGGGACCAGAATCTAAGTCTCAGTCCCCGACCTCAGTCCAGGCCTCCTCCACAGCCTCTCTGGAGGTTCCTTCTAGCTCTGGCATTCCAGGGTTCCATGATACTATGACTCAATGACTGAATGATTCTAATGCGATGTATAGCAATAGTCCAACTCTCCAGGTGAACCTGGCATAGGAGTGGAACACGATCTTGGCTGTGATGCCTGCCCACCAATTTTACTGACATTATTTCTGCCGTGGAATCAACGGCAGGACCATGGAATCCAAGTCAGCACCCACACCCAAATCAGTGTTCCTGCTGCTACCTCAGAAGGTTTTGAATGTCCACAGTGGGCTAAAAACAACTGCTTTTGCCAAAAAAACCGGTCTAGAACATTTCCTTGCTACAGAAATGAGGATCATGGGGGTAAGTCAGACCCATATTGTAATTCATAAAAGGGGAAAAAGAAAGACCAGGGATAGGGAGTCATAGTTTTAAGAAAATAACTGATTCCAACTCTGGTTCAAAGGCCTACTGAATGTCTGCAAGTGACATAATCACTAGCAGATTCATAGACACAAATCTTTGTGGTTGACTGCTTACATGCCAGGTTTCCACCCAGAATTATTGATATCTATATATCAATATATATAGATTGAGTGTGTATATATATATATAGTGTGTGTGTATATATATATAGAATATATATAGATATATAGAGAGAGTGAGCAGGGAGGGAAAGGGCATTTGTATTTGGGGCCAGGAAGTTGGTCTTACATAAAAGTAATGCTTGCACAGTAAATCCCTAAACTCCCAAGTCTGGAATATGTTGAGGAACTGGATTTGCTATCAAGTAAAGCAGGAGAGAGCCTGCCTCAACCTAACAATTCCTGAGACCTCTAGACTGTACTAGAAGATAATCAAGAGGTGGGGAATCTGCAGCCTCAAGGCCACACGTGGCCCTCTAGGTCCTCAAGTGTGACCCTTTCATTGATTCCAAACTTCACAGAACAAATCCGCTTAATAAAAGGATATGTTCCATAAAATTTGGACTCAGTCAAAAGGCCATACCCAAGGACCTAGAAGGCCACATGTGGCCTTGAGGCTGTAGGTTTCCTACCCTTAGAGCTAAAAGCATTTGAGGCCTTGCGATGACAGAAATAGAACCAGAAGGGAAGCCAAAGGTCATCCAATCCAGCCCCCTCACTGAGAAAATGAAGGCCAAGGCAAATGACCCCAGTTGCCCAAGGGACCACAAGTCAGAAGAAGCCGATCCCTGATGTGAACCCATTTTCTGAATCTCAAACAGGGAATACTCTTTCCCCTGTGCACCAAGAGCCTTTGCAGAAGCATTTTTAAGTCTAAAGCTGAGCTCCTAGGCAAGGTGCATTGGAATAGTCTCCAAAACTTTTTCCCAGAAAGAAGAATGAGAGCCTCTAGGTGAAATACAGCTGTTCAACAGGGTTATTAGCCAGAATAGGGGCCTGGGACACAGAACAAAGGTAAAGGAAAAGAGCTCATCACAGTAGAGAGATTGAGTCTATGGGCATCAAAAAACTGGCATGGGATCGGGGATTTAGAATTGGAATGAAATTCAGAAGCAATTGAATCCACCCTCCTAATTTTACAGTTAAGGAACTGAGGCAGAGAGAGCTAAAGTGACTTGTCCAGGGGCATATAAGTAATCAGTACCCTGTGTTTTTTCCACTGGGCCACCCTGCTTTCCGACCTTAAGCTGTGGTTCTCTTTGCCTTACACCTCCCTGTTGGCAGCGCAGTCTGCCTCCTGTCAGGCTCACCTCTAGCCAGAAGCAGAATGAGGAAGTAGGGAAGAAGAGAATGTTGAAGAGCAGTAACACAGAAGAGTCAGGATAAGCCCTTCAGGAGCTCCCAAAAGACAGCAGGGCTGAGCCTCTCGGGAGACAGGTCCGCCAGGAAGCACTTGCTGACCACGATGCTCTTTCTATTTCCAGGCTATTCAGGTCCTAATTGGTGTGATGAACTTTTGCTTTGGGGCAGTCTTACTTTTTACTCGAGTCCCTCCATACCCGCGCTTTCCCTTCATCTTTATCTCAGGGTATCCATTCTGGGGAGCAGCATGCGTGAGTACAGTGAACATGGGAACTATGGGCATAAAGCCATTCCCAAACCCCTAGGAGTCAGAGGAAGTTTGAGGCAAGGGCTCTGCCTAAAACATCTTCTCTAAAGCATCATCACCACGGGGCCTAACATTCTGGCATTAGAGATTCATTTTCTCTGCTCATACCATGGCCACCACCTAACTCAGCCCCTCTGGATCTCTTACCGAGGCTACAAAAACAGCCTTCAACTTTGCCTCAAATCTCTCTCTATTCCAGTCCCCATCCCCTTCACAGCTCCCAAAGTGCTATTCCTAAAGCACAGATCTGACCGCGTCCATTCCCAGTTCAAAAAGCTCTAGGAAAAGAAAAAAAAGTCTCATTTTGTCACTTAAAGATTTTGACCATCTGGCATACATTTCCCCACCAATCTACACATTACTCCCTTTCATGAACTCTGCCCTCTGGCCAAAAGTGGCCCTGCTAGTTCGGGTCACTGACATTCCCCTCTCCTGAGCCATCTGCTGAGATCCCTTCCTCTCCTAAGACCCTTCAAATTCCCTGCTCCTTGCTCAAGGACCACCTCCTCTGGCAGGCCTCTCCAGATTCCCCCAGCTACTAGTGCCTGGGCCCACAGAAGGACTCCAGATCTAATACTTATGCTTATCCATGGTGTTTCCCCTTGTAAGTTCCTTGAGGGTATCCCCAACATCTGGCAAAATGCCTATAACACAATAACTGTTTAATAAGTGTTTACTGATTGATTGATTGATTGGATCTTGAAGACTTTTGTCAGTGGTAGTATCTCATCCTAATAATCACTTACCATGTGCAGAAAAATCCCAGGATCTCAAAAACTAGAAGGCATCTCAGAGTCTATCTCAAAGAACCTACACCAGAAAATAATTCATGAGAAGTGCATTTCTTGAGTGCCTTAAGATTTGCAAAACACTTTACCAAAATTATCTCATTTTATCCTCAACAGTCCTGGGAGATAGGTGCTCTTATTACCCTCACTTTACAGATGAGGAAACTGAAGCAGACAGAGGCTGGCCAGGGTCACAAAACTAGTAAGTGTCTGAGGCTGCATATGAACTCAGGTTTTCCTCACTCCCGGCCCAGCACTCTGCCCACTGTGACATGTAGCACCTAAAAAAGAAATCCTTACTACAATCTATCTGATAAGTGGTCATCCAGCCTTTACCTGAAGGCCTTGAATGGGAAACAAACAGTCCATTCTCCTGTTGGAGCGCTACTGGACAGGCCATTCAGCCCAAGTTGGCCTCTCTGAACCTTCTACCCCTTGCTCCCAATTCTGCTCTCTGGGGCCAAGCAGAACAAAAC